TGTGTGCAGTCTAACTGGGTCATTAAGGCAGGGAGGTCCCCTTAAGTTTGGGGAAGCCCAGCGCTTTGTTTATTTTTGGTTTGCATGGAGCCTCAAGCCGCTCTACAAGTTTAGGTAGCCTGAAGCTCTGGAGGCTGGGATGTCCTCATAAGTTTGGGGAGACCTGGTGCTGTGAATTGCATGGAGGGCTATGAATCCCCCTCGGTGGCGGCCATCCACGGACAAGTCCGCGGTCGCGGCCTAGGCCGCGACCCCGCGGACGTGTCCGCGGTCCGCGGCCATGGAAATGAAAAAAAAAAAAAAAAAAAAAAAAAAAAAAAATTCAAAAAATTCTGAAAACAAAATATGTTATGCAAAAAAATATATTGAACAACTTTTGCCTTGTAGTTATATCCCAAAACGTTACTGAATTTAAAATAAAAAATCACATACGTTTCATGTTTTTTTTTTGGAAAAAAAACAAACAAACAGCTTTTGCCTCAGAAAAATTAGTTTTTGAATTTTTAAAATTCGAAGACGAGGTCAAAAAATAAAATAATTTTTTTTCAATTTAGATCTAAAAAAGATCTACAACCCCATATTTTTTGTTGTTTTTTTTATAAATGTTTAAGGTCACAAAATATTCTTGAAAGTCGCGGCCGCACCCAACCGCGGTCGGAGCCGCGGCGGCCGTGTTCACGTCCGCCCTCCGAGCTTGACACCGCGGACACGTCCGCGGGTGTTTCATAGATGGAGGGTCAGGACGCTCTATAAGTTTAGGTGTCCTGGCTGCTCTGACTTGTGAGGGTTTGACTGTGAGTGACTTTCAGGGACCCAAGACGCTCTATAAGTTTAGGTACCTTGGGTTGCCTCGTTTACTTGGGGTTCTCTCAGTTTTTTTGGCTCTGAACAAGGGGGTATGAACCGCTCTATAAGTTTAGGTGGTTCAGCCCTTCTCTTGTCTTGTTTTGAGGGGATAATCTTGGCAGAGGACAGGCCGCTCTATAAGTTTAGGTAGCCTGTCCCACTGCCTCGTGCAGACTGGATCAGAGAGAAACGAACCTGGCTGAGGATCAGACCGCTCTATAAGTTTAGGTAGTCTGAACCAATGCCTCGAACATGTTGGAACCTAAGGAATATAATCTGGCTATACTATACTACTATGCTATTACGAACAGGCTGGTCAGGCCGCTCTATAAGTTTAGGTAGCCTGACTATAGCTTATCATAACTGAAGAGAGTACAACTAAAGGAGATATAATTGGAGGTAAACTTGGGCAGGCTGAGCAGTGTTCTAAGTTGAGCGGCTCAGCCTTATGCCCCTTTGAAGCATAAGTTCAGAGAGGTATATATAAATTGGTTATTTAAACAGTTCAGGGCGATTAGAGTGGTCTAGTCAGATGCCCAAAGAAGAGAGAAGTAGTTGTGCCCTCTGTTTGTGTATACTTGGCCGAGTCAGAACGCTCTATAAGTTTAGGTATTCTGACTTTAGGCCTGGCTAAGCTGGGTGCGCTCTGTAAGTTCACGTGCCCTGGCCTACGCCTTATGTAAGTTGGGTATGAGGGGATAACTCACTGAGAGATTATGAACTATTGTTTGTTTAAATTGGCTTGGGAGTGGTGAGAGTACCTACCTTTGTGGTTTGGCGTGCATGTGGCTGAGGGAGATTACTACTTGGTCTGGGATTCAGATTGACAGGTAGTTGCTTTAGAGGCTCGCCACGTGCTAGAGCGATGGGAGTTAGGTCAATTCCTGCATTTTCTGTGCTAACGTTTTTTACTTGGATCAATTCTCGGATTTTCTGGGATCTTTTGTTACACTTGGCGTTGTATAAATCTTTGGCAAGCTACTTTCTCTACGGGAAGCGCTGCCGAAATTTCTACAAATCCAAGGAGTTAGTCAACTTTTGACTTGTCAAAGTTCAATTTGTCTATTCTTTATATCTGACTTAGTAAAAATTTGGAAAGTCTCATTTTCTAAAGGGAGTGCTGCCCAAATTTTTGCTAATTCAGGGAGTTCGACAAATTGGACTTTGAGAAGTCAAAAGTTATTTTTAGATTCTGGACTTAGCTCTGTATAAAATTTGGAATAAAACTTTTCTACAGGGAGTGCTGCCAAAATTTCTGCAAAACTAAGGAGTTAGCTAAATCATTGTGTAAGTTGAACTCAAGGTTGTCTTTGAGTTCATATCTGACTTAGTATAAATCTGAGAAGTCTCCTTTTCTAAAGGGAGTGCTGCCCAAATTTTTGCTAATTAAGGAAGTTAGACAAAATTGGAATTCGGACAGTCAAGGGTTTTTTCTGTTTTTCATATTTGGGCTGATATAAACTTTGGAAAGGCACTTTTCCTACGGGAAGCGCTGTCGAAATTTTCTTGATTTAGAGGAATTAAATTATATTTTGACAGGTGGCGATTCTGGCAATCCACCCTGAATAGGGGAGATTATGCCAGGGTTTACCTTTGCTTTGGGCACGACTTATAGGTAAATTCAGGCTTAGTTAGATAAGGTGATTCGAGTGGGGTCGTGATATGGGGATTATTTTCCATGGACTTATAGGGTTAGCCTGGGATTGACCTGTCTTGTGTTACAGGCCATCTTGATCGTTCGATTCAAGATCAAGACTAGATTCAACTTGATCCTTTGAGGATCGTCTTCTGTTATCACTGATAACAGGTCGGTTGCCGATTCGTCGGTCTTCGACTCAATTTCAACTCATTTTCCCATACTCAACCTAAAAGGCTTTAGCCCTGGTGGTTTTTACTGTTTGTTAAGAGGTTCACCCGGACTTTTATTGAATGACCATTTGACAAAGGTACTGAGTATTTAGTTGAGGTTGGTTGGGACGGCGGTTGGGGCTTGCATGGCTAAAGCAAAGGGGTATGAGCATAGAGAATGGTTGGGGTTGACTCCGTGTAGTGTGTGGTTTATCGTTTGATTCTTGGTGTGGTTGCAGGTATGTCCTGTGGCTCGGATTTTGGATTTGGACTGCCTGCGATTCCATAATACATATATATGGTTGTGAGGAGTCCCACTGTGCCTGTGAGAAGTGATCGTCATAACTCTATCCCCTTCTGCATGTATGCTTGGGTATATGTACGATGAGTGTTCGGGAGGCCAAAAGAGTCATGTCACAGCCGCGTGAGAGTTGAGATTGAGGGACAGGGAAGACCCTCCCTTCTGCCTATTTGCATCTTGGGGCTTTCCTAGTCGGACGTTGGTCCTGGGCCGGGATTCGAGGTCCTTGTCCAGGACATCCCAAGCCCTAGGCCCTGAAGAGGAGGAGCCTCCCCTTGCATAGAGCCTATTTATTTTGGCCGGCAGGACACTGCACCTGAAAGGCGGGAACGTCGCCAGGGCCGAACGGCGTGTCCTTCAGCCGTTCAATATCGTGAGGGGTAACCCCTCGTGATGGGTTCCTTCAGCCATACAATATCGCGAGGCCTAAGCCGCGGTTACCACATATGATTGGCATTAGTGGTTGGCATAGGGTTGGCCTGTGGCCGCGCAATTTTATATCAGAGCCCTGCGCGCGACGCCTCGCCGCCTCGGCGTCTAAAAGTTATGGGACTGTCGGGCTTGCGCGTAGGCGTGGCGCCTGGGATTATTATAGGTCGCCGGCACCGCCCATAGAGGGGAAGTGTATCCCAGGGCCATGAGTTTTTGTTTTAAGGGCCAGGAGACCTTTGCCCTATCCCCCCTTCTTGGGTTCGTGCGAGTTTTGTTGCTTCTTAGAAATTTTTATGGTTGGACGTTGTAGTCCGTGGCAGCCGTTAAAGCTAAACCCCTTGACTGTCGCCCAGGCCCCGGGGAGGACTCACCCCTAGGGCCGCGAGAGACGACTACCACCACAGGCATGGGCCTGTGTACCACCCACTCTGCATAAGGGTGCAGAAGAGGGTGTGTGGTCCTCAACCGCGCATGGAGGTTGTCCAGCGTCGAGAGATTAACCCTCAAGGCGCGTGTCAGCCGACACTTGAGTGTTGAATGCGACCCTCGAGATTAACGAGGACCGCATGAGTAGGGGTACTACATTGTACGCCATCATTGCGACTGCTTGCGTACATTTGCATTGCTAGTCGATATGAGTAGGTCCTGCGCCCGCGCGGTTTTATACTAAGTCTCACGTGCGACGCCTATGCAAACTCCGCATCGTAAAGTTATGGGAAGGCTACCGAGGGGCTAGGAGCGTTGTCGGGTTGTTTGTGTTGTGTCGTGTTGGATGGTTGTGTGTGTGTTTTATTTTTGTGTTCATAAAGTGGTGTGCCCGTGGTGTGTGGGATGCGTCCTACTCGACCGACGACGAGCCGCGCTCGGGACTTCAGCCCCCCGAGATATCGGTTCGCGTGCGGGTCCGATAGGCGTATTACCGCGCGTACCCCCTGAGCTACAGCGAACGAGAAACGCCCTTGGCTGGTCCACCTCTGCGATTGCAACTGATAAGCTTTCGTATTGTGGACTGGTAGCTCGGTAGGGATACGCCCACCAAAGGGAGGTGACAGCTCCCGTAAGGTGGAGGTAAGTTGTGCCTCGTGTAGGCCCTATCCTGTCATAGGGACTCGCGAGAGGTATGGCTGGCGCACTCGGCCGGAGCGGCCTAAGGAAGCTCCATTTGTATGCTCGCAACGAGGTTGGTCCAACTCCTGCGTGACGCAGCCGAGAGGGTCCCGCGCTCCCGCGTGCGGTGCCGGACCGATGCGCTCGACAGGTGGCGCAGTTGCCAGGGATAATGGAAGCCTACCGTTGTCCCTGGTGAAACGACATCCGGGTATGGGAGTAAGCGAGAAACTAGGCATATGAGTGAATAAGAGAAGGACTATGAGATGTATGTAAGGTGATCTATATGACTATGGGTTGGATGATTGATTGATTGGCGGCTTGGTTGATAGTTTGAATGAAGTAAGTGTGTGAGGAAGTCCTATGGTGAGGGTAAGCGTTATCTAGGTAAGCCCAAAGGGGACGGGAGAAGGAATGCCTGTCCGGTCTAGAGTGTGGGGTGTCTAAGGTGGTCAACTCGATAGGGTCATGAAAGGTTGAGTCGCTGAGTGGGGTCCTCTGTCCCATCGTCTCTTATAACAGGGAGATTGAAGTGGAAGGCGGTTGGCCAAAATGCCGGTGGAGATGGCGGACGGTGGGAGGAAGCTTGTGACTCTCGATGACCTCATCGATGCTCTGGACAAGTGTGAGAGGGCGCCGAGCAACGTCCCAAAGGTCGAGACTTTCTACTTCAAAGGGGATCGAGTATCTGATTGGTTGGATCTGACGGAGCAGGCGCTGGTGGGACTGTCAGATGAGGTCAAGCTCCAGCGGGTTCTGAGGTATGTCCTACACAGTCACCATCGGGAAGTAACTAAGGTTGTGGATGCCGCAGGTGGCAGTTGGGCAAAGTTTGAAGACCTAATGCGAAGGAAGTATAGGCTGGGGGACGGCCTGTTGACCATGGCCGACTTGGAGGTCATGAACAAGGAAGACTTTTCTACCATTGGGGCGTTTGTGCACGAGTTCAAGAAAAGGGAGAGAAAAGTGCACGGGATTTCTGAGGAGGCGCAGTGCGCCACATTTTTGGGACTGCTCACAGGCTCGGAGGTCACAGAGCTGACGAAGTATGGGGAAGGAAGCAGGAGGCTCACCTGGGCAACCATTGACAAGGGAGTAGAAGAAGGGAGCCTGGACCAGGTGGAATGGCACTAAATGAGGCTGCAAAGACGCAAGAGGAAGGAGAGGGATGCTACTGCATCTGGGACCCCAGGGGTGAAGAGAATAGTCACGGACATATTGGCGGCACTGGGGTATGATAGCGAAGCAGAACTACAGAAAAGAGTGGTGGCAGTGGCCCAAGGCCGGGCGTCAGGGGTAGGAGATGAGGAGGCAGGGCGCGAAGACTACGGCGGAGGGGAGACGGGCTCCCAAACCCTGACTAAGGCCCAGAGGAAGCAGCGTAATTTGCTACTGGGGGGACAGGGATCAGGGAAAGGGCAGGCTCCCCAAGCCCTTGCCGCACCATCATCTGTCGTCGCGGCCGCCCCGGCGCCCGCGCCAGCCGGATCATCGCACATGGGGCCGCCGCCATCTTGTGGACACTGGGTGCCGCATTGCCAATCCACGCCCTGGCCCARTTGTAACCACTGCGTCTCGTGTGGAGGGAGTCAGGCCCACGTGGGGCACATGGTCCCCTATCCAGGCCCATCCGCAAGTATGGGCCCCCCGAGCTACCCGCCGGCTCAAAGCCAGCCCGTGGCTCAACCGCCACCCTCTCAGCAGGCCTCGCAAGCTAGTGTGGCCGGGGAAGGAGGCCAAGGACAAGACGGGCAGGGCAATGGGGGCCGGGGCCAAGGAGGTAGAGGAGGGGGCGGCCGGGGGCGGGGAGGGAACGGTGGAGGCCGTGGAGAAGGCTGGAATGGTCAAGGGGGTCAGAACCAAGGTGGCCAAGGCAGCCAGGGAGGGGGCCAAGGGTACGGGAGGCCCCGCTTCGGCTGGCAGAGCGCAACTTGTTGGCATTGTGGCGAGGTGGGCCACACCGTACGATTCTACCAACAGTGGCGGGACGACGAAAAGGCAGGATTAATCTCCACCTGTATGGACGGGGATATATACGACCGGTGGGGAACCCACATTGACCCCAAGACCCCGGGAGGAATCAGGCAGGAAGCCCTCAGGCGGGCAGCGGCCGGACCTCCAGCAGCCCCGGCAATGTTCAGGATATGGCAGGAAAGGCAAGACCCCGGCGTAAGGGTCGAGGAGATTGTGGATGAAAATGAGGAAGTGACTCAGCGGCTGAAGGCGGGAACTATAAAGGAGGAGCCCATAGTTGTTGAGTCCGATGAAGAGGCGCAGGAAGTGGTGAGAGAATCAGCCTCGGCCATCCTGGAGAGGATGGAGGACCTGCTTGCAAAGGTCGGCAGGTACCAGGAACGGCTAAGGGCAATGTGTGAAAAGGCCCGAGAATGGGAAATGAGCCTTCCTGAGGTGATGCTCTATGGGTCTGGTCCGGAGTCGTCGTCAAGACCGCAAGGATGTCCAAGCGTGGCGACGGCCGGGGCAGGTCCTAGGTCAGGGATGACCTTCAGACCCCCTACGTCGCATGGATCGGTACCACAGGCCGCGCAGACTAGGGGCCAAAGTAAGGCTACCACCAGTCAAGGGCCCAGTCAGGCACCCTGTCGGGCGCCCCCTCGAAAGGACCCTGAGCCCGAACGAAGAAAGGAAGTGGTAGAAGTTCAAGAAGAGGAAGATGAGGGTGATGACGGAGAGGACGAGAGGCTCTGGCAGGAGGAGGACCGGAGGGCGGAACAGAGAGCCAAGAAGAGAGGGGCTCAGGGAGGGGTGGAGCCRAGTCTGCATGATGGCGTGCCAAAAAGGAAGAAGTACGCAGTCCGACTGGAGGAAGGCTTTGACGTGGAGCGAATGGTGGATAAGCTTCTGGAGGTCCATAACGATCTGATGAACTTAAAGGACATTTTGGCCTCAGCACCAAGGCTCCGGGGCGAGCTGAAAAAGCGGCTCTCGCGAAGGTTAGTGCCCAATGTCCACCTGAGCTCAATTCTGCCCAGGGAGATAGAGTGGACAGAGGTGGGCACTAGGATGGATTGGAAATGTGTAGCGTGTGGGTTGGTGGACTTGAAGGTGAGGGACCAGCCGAGCATTGCAATAGTGGACACGGGCGCGGAAATGAATATCATCCGGGAGTGGGACGCGACGATGTTAGGGTTCGAAGTTGACCATTCGGACCATGGTGTGCTGTACGGCGCCAACTGCAAGGCCATTTTYTGCGGCACAGTGTCTAATGTGATGGTGGAGATTGGGAGAGTAAGGGCGCGAACGTGCTTCTTCGTCATGCCCGACGTCGACCACCCTATTCTTCTGGGGAGGTCGTTCCTCTGCCGAACGGAGACCTTGGTCTTCAACAGGCATGAGGGAACGATGATCCTGACTCTACCTGATTCAGCCTGTGGAAACTACGAAATCGTCAAGTGCCGGAACACAAGGCCCAAAAGTAGGAAGAACAGACTCAACCTCGGCTCCTTTACCTTCGAGGAGTCTGAGTACGCGCGACGGAGACTCCGGAAGGAGCAAGAGGAGGAAGGAGCAGGCGAGGTATTATCCCTGAGCCTTAATGATGTGAATAAGGCAATGGAGGTGGTGGCGACGCATAATATGGCGGACCCTGAGGCTTTCAAGGCATTGAGGGAGCAGGTCCTGGAAAGCCCTCAGGTGGGAGAAGTGGAGCTGATCTATCGGCTTCCCGGGAGGAAAGGAGACCCTGCGATGGCCCAGGCCCGAACGACGAGTCGGCCTTTTTTAGGGGAGGGCTTAAGCAGAGTTCCTGAAGGCGGTACAAGACCATAGACAAGAAGTGTCGCCCGGTCCCCGTGCTTGTCACGGAGGATGAGGAAGCCTACTATGAGCGGGAGCGAGGGCTGATAAGGCGTATGCGGGAGCGCGCGCAGGCAGGACCATGCTGCATCAATAATGAGAATGAGGAAGGGTTGATAATTGGCGAGCCTGACTTCCTGTCGCCCCAGGAGAGGACCTTGATGGTGGAGACCATGAGGAGGAGGCATTGCGCGTATGCGTTTAATGATGACGAGCGTGGAAGGTTGGACGTGGATAAGATCCCGATGATACGAATCCATACCGTCCCACACGAGCCGTGGAACCTGAGGGGCACGYGGTACCCGAATCCGGATGAGGAGAAGAAGGTGGTGGATTACTTGGATGGGAAGATGAGGACGTATGTAGCGGATTACTCCAGTGGACCGTATGCTTCCCCTTGGTTTTGTTTTACCAAGCCGAACGGAACGCTGCGGTGGGTGCAGGATCTGCAACGACTGAATGCAGTGACGGTGCGGGACGCGGGAGGATTGCCGAACGCGGACGCCCTTTCAGAATCATGCACAGGAAGGCYTATAATCTCACTTATAGACCTTTACTCTGGGTATGACCAGTTTCCTGTGTACCTACCGGATAGGCCGGTGACAGCGATGCATACGCCAAGGGGGCTGATCTACATGAACGTGGCGCCTCAGGGATGGACTAATGCGGTGGCGATGGTGCAAAGGCACATGATTAGGGCCATGCAGATGGTTAGTCCACATATTACTCAGCCCTACATTGACAATTTGGCGGTCAAGGGTCCAAAGGAGAAGGAGGAAGATGAAGTGATGCCAGGAGTGAGGCGATTCGTCTGGAAGCACGTCCAGGATATCGATCAGGTTTTGGGTCTGCTGGAAGAACACAACCTGACGGCGAGCGGCCCCAAATCGAAGCATTGTATGAGGGAGGCCACAATTCTGRGCTTTGTCTGCAACGAGAAAGGGCAGAGGCCAGATGTGAAGAAGACGGACAAGATCCTAGAGTGGTCAGTCCCCTTCCAGTCGATAACGGACGTGAGGGGCTTCCTTGGGACCTGCGGGTTTTGGAGGAGTTTTGTGAGGGACTTCGCCACCAAGACGGAACATTTGAGGAAGCTGGTGCGTCAAAATCAGGAGTGGGTCTGGGGTGAAGAACAGGAGAAGGCTGTGGAAGGGATGAAGAGAGAATTTAAGGAAGGAGGCTTGGTGCTGGGGGCGCCGAATTACGAAGTCACGGAGGAGAAACCATTCGGTGTCGAGACGGATGATGGGCCAACTGCCCTAGGAGGGGTCCTGATTCAGGCAGATGCGGATGGGAAGGAGAGACCGTTAATGTTTGAAAGTTGTACCCTCAATACGACTGAGAGAAATTACTCCCAGTTTAAGAAGGAGACGTTGGCGGTGCTCCATTGCCTAAGGACYTTCCGCTACTATATCTTTGGCAGGAGACTCATTTTGAGGGTGGACCCTACTGCGCTTGCGTGTTCCCTGAAAAGTTACACTCCATCTGACCCAACCATCGCGAGGTGGCTGRCCTACATTTGGATGTTTAACTTTGAGTTGGAGAGGATTCCCGGGGWYAAGAACAGGGCAGATGGGCTGAGCCGTATCAACTGGGATGGGGCGGGTCAAGAGTCAATTGAGGATACCCCACCAGTCGATGGGTTCTTGGATCAGGAGGAGGATGTCCGCCTTCATATAAATGAGTGGTCACTGAGGGTGCCCAGTTGCGTCACGCATCCTATATGGCTAGCACCAAGGGGGTACGAGCAGAAGGAGGAGTTGGTCCTCAAGCCCTTCCAGGAAGAAGATCCGTGGGGGAGTAGGGATGTTGGCTGGATGATGAGGTTSGCATTGGCAGGGACACATAGTCTAGCGGAGGAGGTAAGGACGATAGAGGAAGGCCCAACCCAGGTARAGGAGCATGAGCAACTAATGGGAGGAATGTACTTGCTCACCAACACGCTTCTGTAGGGGAACTTTGACCAGAGGAGCGCAGCCAGCTCCGAGGAGGGCGAGTTTCYCATTCCTGAGAGCCAGGACGACGAGTTCGAAGAGGGAGAGATTAGGGAGGCCTTCCGTGTTGAGGAGTATGATGGAATTTATCATGAATTAGGYTTACTCCTGTCRTGCGAAATGAGGGATAGGGACGCAAGTGCTAAGGCCCAGAAGATGAGGCATCTCTACGTAGTGAGAGATGGTCATTTGTTTATAAAGCGACAGGTTGGGAACCCCAAGAGGATCGTATGTGGGAGGAACAGGCAGATCGATGCCATAGCAGCCTTACACGATGGTATAGCAGGGGGGCACAGAGGGGTTAGTGCCACGTGCGCAAAGATAAGTGAGCTATACCATTGGGATGGAATGCTGACTATGGTCATCAAGTACTGCCCGTCCTGTGTACCCTGCCAACAAAGGTCAGCGCAAAGGTCGGGGGAGCCTCTGCACCCCAGACTGGAAAGGGAAGTGGGTGCAGTCGTACACCTGGACCTATTGTTCATGCCACTTGGGGAGGACGGAAGTAACTATATCTTCGGCGCAYGGGACAACCTTACCGGATTCGTGGACGGTCGGGCTATTCGTACGAAAACTAGCCCAGTGTTAGCAAGATGCATCGAAGAGTACTACYTGCGCTATCCGTTCGTCAGAGAGTTTGTGATGGACCGGGGGTCGAAATTCACCTATAACGAGGTACGGACCTTACTTGCGGGGTATGTCGTGGTAGCAAATTATACTACTGCCGCRCACCTGTGGAGAGGGGGCATAGTAGCATCACGAATCTCATGGCCAAATGGACGGAAGGGAAGCCTAACCAGTGGCCGAAATTCCTGAGAGCAACGTTCTTCGTGGAAAATGTTGCAGTGAAAAGGACTACCAAGTACGCGTCAGCCACACTATGGTACGGAAGGCATGCCACCTTTCCCATAGAAAGCTTCATGAAGATGTGGAGGCGTCAGGACCTGGAAGTGAACCTGTCCTTTGAAGAGCTGCTCGATATACGGGCGCGGCAGCTGGGGGCCGCTGAGGAAAGGTTACGAGAGGCCGCTGGTCAGGTGGAGAGGAGTCGTATGGAGGACAAGATGAGATGGGACCRGATGGCCCGAATAAGGAAGGATCCGCTGAAGGTCGGAGATGTGGTGCTTCTTGAATCCTTGTTGGAAAAGCAATGGTCTAGGAAGCWCGACAAACGGTGGCTGGGGCCCTATAGGATCGTGCGGTGTGGCGAGTTTGGGGCCTACCAAATCGAAGAGTTGGATGGTGCGGGGTGGAAGGACTGGGTGTCAGGGATAAGGCTGAAGAAGTTCGTGGCCAGGGAATAGGTAAGGGGTCATGAGACCTCGTTAGGAATAGACTTTTGCCTCRGCTTTACCCAGGTCAGGCGCCTAGATAGGTGGATGATTGGGGTGGATGGGTGTGAAGAGTATGTGGGATTTCCCWAGGCCAATGCCCCAGTTGCTGACCCTGMTGTGTGCCTGTTTGTGGTCTCTCGCTTGTTGTGCAGGTCTGACTTTTCGAAGGCAGTCATGCAGAGGGGCGGRAGGGACACACGGCCACGCCAGGGGCCCCAGAGGATGGAGGGAAGRGGCGAGCAGCATGAGCCGCCTAGGAGGGAGCCTACGCCCGAGTTCGATGACGACAACATTGAGCTCTTCTTGGACGTATATCGGGACCATGCGGCACAGAGAGGGTGGTTATTGGCAGAGAGGATTCACCAATTGAGGGGTATAGGGCGGTTCGAGGAGCCTGTCGCTCAGATACGCGAGGAGGCCCTGACTTGGCCAGATGTGGAGGCCGGGATGYAGAGGTTGAGAGCTTCCCCTAGGGGGCGTGATGACATGCCCATTCGATTGGAGGAGGGAAACGCAGATGAGTTCATCCCCGCATATGAGCACTACATGTTGAGTCTGGGGGTTGCGCAGGGGGATGCAGGTCCTACTTATCTGGACGAGGTAGGCAGAGAAGCAGGCGGTCAAGCAGATTCAGGAGAGGGCTCAAGACTGGGAGGACTGTCAGGCCCAGCTTAGGAGGGCGTTCGGACGGCCACAGCACGAGAGGCACGGGCCCAGGGTTGAGAGGCGACGGCGAAGAAAAAGGCCAAGGGAACCGGCACCGAGAGAGGCGGGGCTGGCCAGAGAGGGAAGGGGAGCCCCGGCCCAGCGGGAGGATGAGCCCGTAGGGCCTGCATTGGCAAGGGAGTCGTTCCCTGCTTGTGGCCTCCGAGAGGTTGAGTTTCGGTGGATTACGAGCTAGGAGTTGAGGTCGCCCTCGCCATTGCCATCAATGCAGGAGCTGGACATACCAACAGAGACGCCATTCCGAAGCTTAGCGATGCATCTCAATGTATCCCAATGGGAGGCCTCACGCCTGGGAGAGGGCTCAGTTGAGCCGGCGTGCTACGTGCCATTGGAGGAGCCCCTCGACCTTGAGATGGAGACAGACATGCGAGACCGAGAGGAGCCGCAGGATCCTGAGATGGCAACCGAGCGGCCGGATCTGGTACGACCTCAGGGCAGAGAGGTGATCACGGTTGGGGATGATACCCCTCCATGCTCCCCAGCTCCAAAGCCAGCACACCGTTTATGGCCAGAGGGGATTCCTGAGCCAGGCAGTGAGGAGATCCCGGGGTCTCCCCCGGAGGCCACCGCTATACCTGAGCAGGAGGCAGAGGCGGAGGACCAGGGTGTGTGTGAGAGAGCGAGGATGGAGGCGCCTGGTGACTTGCCATCGGCCACGCACGCGACCAAGAGCCCAGTTATCGAGGAGCCCGTTCCAGTAGAGTTACCGCCAGTAGTGCCATGCATGAGTGAGGGGATGGGTATTGAGGCATCAACTCCAGAGGGCGAGAGGCCGCAAGTGAGAGGAGCCCCAAGAGAGACCCAAGAAAAGAAGTCCGCTCGAGTCCGGGTCCGCCTGGATGAGATACACGCGAGACAGGCTGAGATGGAGGCGAAAGGGATAGAGCCGACACCGCCGGTTGAGCCCAAGACGAGCGAGCAGAGGATCGACGAGTTGTGGGTTAGATATGAGAACCAGAGGGATGCGGCCCGCCAGAGGTCACGAGAGGCAGGACAGGCGGGCGGGGAGACGAGKGAGTTGAGAGAGATGGGGGACTTAGGGTTCTCCGCGACCAGGCAGGCGATTGAGCGCATGGATCGGAGGGTATGTGAGACGACAGTCACATCTTTCCAGTGGTATAATCTGCTCAGCAATGAGCTCAGGGTTAAGGAGTTGGAGGTAGAGCACCTGACTACTCAGCTTGCCGAGGAGAGGGTGAGGAGCTAGGCCAGAGAGGTTGAGTGGGAGAGGAGATTTGGGAGATGGCGGCCGCTATGGATAGGCTCTCAGCAGCCTGGGAGGCTAGCCAGGCGGGGCCAGCCGGTGCTGATAGCCAGGGCCGTGGGATGCAGGCGTCGTCGAATCAGGGAGTAGTAGTGGAGGCCCCTCGTCAGGCCGAGCCGATGGAGGAGGCGCCCTTGGACGCAATCGAGGAGGAGAGTGGCGCGCAGGAGTCACTTATGGCTATGTCCACGGAGAGGAGAGGTTCGCGCTTGTATGAGCTGGCGGCAGCCATGGGGATAGGCACTCCACAGGAGTCCACAGGAGGGGCCTCAGGGACTCCAGGCTCCAGAGCATGCCCCGAGGTTGGGAGAGTTGAGGGCGGAGCTGGGCTCCTGGGCCACGGGGACCGACTCAGGAGGGCCAGACTCGCGACGGCAACAGCAGCAGGAGGTCATGAGTGACCCCGCCGCTATGGGGGGCTCTCAGCCGTCAGGAGTATGTAGGGATGAGGCGATGATGACCGAGAGGGCGCATGAGGAGGGACCCCGAGAGTTGGAAACGCCAGAGCGAGGGCCAGGGAGTGCGGTTGCACGAGGGGGTGAGGGTGTTGAGGTTATGGAGCCTAGACCTCAGGGCCATGTGGGGTTGCCCTCGTGTCATGAGGTGACTACTGAGACCATGGGGACGCCTTCGGCATCGAGTTTGCAGGGGAGAAAGAAGAAGAYTGCCAGGTGGCACGATACCTCCTGTTTTTGGTGCAAGGAGGGAGGACATAGAGCGGCGGACTGTCCAGAGCTCCTTGAGGATAAGGCCGAGGGGCGAGTTGCGGAGGTCGATAACAAGTTCTATGACAGACAGGGCAGGATAGTGGAGCGAGCTCCAGATGGGGGCAGGGCTCAGTTGTATAGGCAGAACCAGGAGGAACTGTGTAAGTAGGGACCGGTCTGTCTATATATTGGTGGGACTAGAGATCCTTGACACACATAGGGCGGGGTTAGGGGTGTACATATTTTGAGTCAGTCGAGCGGGCCCTAGATGTGTGTGTGTGTAGGAGTGGTGGGATGAGTTTCTATCCGATTGTACATATGCGTTTGACTCTTGTTCATTTGTTTCCTCCTGAGTTTCTTCGTGGGCTACGGCCCAGGGGTAGAACTCAGTTGTGTGATATATGAGACCATTTAGTTACATTTGGCTTTGTGATTCAAAAGCTATTGCTGCTCTGGGTGGGATCTGGGAGTTTATAGCACTCGGGGTGTGAGTTTTCTCAGTAGGGGAGGACAGGGACTAGGTATTTTGTGGATGATTAGGCGGATGTTATGTTCCCGAGTGTATTTGATGAGTGTACAGAGGGGTTATGAGTCCTACTCAGACAGGAGGGGTATTGAGTTGAGTGCTTGTGTTCGATTGTTGGGGGAGGCATTCTACTCCCTAAGTGTATTATGAGTTGAGATCCTATGGGACTTGTCTTGTGACGATCACTATCGCTCTCACATGTGTGGATTTATCTCGATGAATGTTTGGCTTTGTGTGAGAGATGTACAGGAGGCATCTCATGGGCATGATTGTGTAAATTGTAAAGCTGTCTACCCTCCGCTATACTCGTGCGGTCTGCTGCAAGCGGACGAGAGGGCAGGGTATAAGAAGGGGAAGTGCAGCCTGTTTGTGAAAACTGTGAGAATCCTACGGGATTTATGAATTTAGGAATTTGCATGTTTGATCATACTAAACATCGTTGCCTAAATCGTATAAGGACCCAGAAGATGGTCCCTCAGTTTGAGTTGTTTGATGATTAAAACCCCCTTCATGGTTCTCGAGAGTGGGAGTTATATGGCATGGAGGCCCCTTCATGATTTTTGGAAGAAGTCGTGTGAGGAGTCATCCCATACAAAAAGGGGATGACCGTGAAATCTTTTATGAGAAGCACCCCTTACCAAGTAAGGGTGGATATAAGTTGAGTGGTATGGAAAGTATTGTTTGTGTTGATGACGTCTGACGGGAGGGAACCATGTTTGGTCGAGATGTTTGAAAAGGGCGAGAGATGCCTCAAGATGGGCGACTGCTGGCTCTAATCAAGTCAAGAGCCGCGACCTGGTGGATCCGGCGGAGAGGTTGTTTGTGATTGAGCGAAGGGTGTCGTGCTTACTACGGGAGAGCCGGTAAATGCCTTCAGACCCCTGCGTAGTCCTGCAGCGGCCTGTGAATTGTTTGTGATGCCCCGCCTGGCCACCTGTGCTAATTCTGAGACATATTTAAAAGGAATACCAAGCTAACTGTAAAGTTTAGTGCGACATGGGCGCAACCCCTAGTGGATGGCTGTTAGCCGGCACAACCTGGCTGCGCCCGCAAGGTGAGAGTTTAAGGGGAGTTGCCCGCCCCAGGAAAATTACCTTACGGGATAAGAGTTGAGTATTTTGGAAGCCCTGATTAATTGATTATCGGGGGCATACCTACCGTTGTATAACCAATGGGAGGATACTGCTGCTAAGGTAACAATACGGTGGGCCGTAGACCTGGCCCGATCATCCAGGCTATGGTGGGTTCAGATGAAGATCTGGCGTTTCTGTACTAGACTGCAGAAAGGGACGAGAGAGGCTATAAGTTATATATATGCATTTGCTTGATGGTGAGAAAATTGTTGAACGAAGGCAAGAATGCCTTCACAGGTCTCATTCAAAACCCGCGTCCCTAGTTACGGCTCTGTCTTACGAGAAAGAGGCTAACTAGGACACCTAACGAGAGGCCGGCGATTGTCTAGGACAAAGGGGAAGAGGGTGGTTTGAGGGCCTTTGGAACTTATGCTGTAGTATTGACGCGTAATACACCGGCGTCCTGGTGTCAGGACAATGGAGACCCAGGTTGAAACCCTGGCAGCATATAGTTGTGTTGGCACTGTTTGATGGAGGCCTCGACCCTGAGTCTAATAGCTAATCGGATTGGTTCTGACCTCGTCAGCATTTGGAATATGAGGGAGTCTATAACTTTTTGATCTGGGACGTGACGGGGACGTCGCTTAATATGGTCCGGTAAGCTGTCGGCGCGAATACCCTTACAAGGGTATCCGCCCTGGTTTTTGCAAGTGACGGAAAGGCTTGGTTAACTTGGATCTTGAGTGCCCGTGCGGGGAAGTGTGAGGGTCGCCCGCACGTAGGCAAGGGTCTGCCTTGTCCTGGTAGGGGGTACGTGGGCGCACAATTTTAAGGCGCGCGTGTGATTTTTCTGATTGAGTGGGCGGCCGGGGTAGCCAGCCGACCCATACTAAAGCTATGAGATTGATTAGGGGATGAAGGTCCACTTTTGGTCGGCGCGCGCGACCGATGGTAGGATTGGCGTGCCGGTAGGCATATGGGACGGCCACGACGCGGGCTGGTAGGCCGGCGGGGCACCTAGGGGCCATGGGTACAATTGTGGGCCGAAGGGGTGGCCGGGCGGTATCCTGGCCTGGAAACGCAGCGCGGCACCACTTTGTATGGGAGACCGCGCCTGCTGGTACCAGGCTTGGGCTTAGCCCTATTGGTTATGACAACGGACTACTGCGGCGGAGGTATGGGGAACGAGGCCAACCGACGACAGCATGGGAGCGATGGAGCGGCGAGAAGAAAAAGGGGTTGAGGGTCCCGCGGGACTATCCCCCTTTTGATTTGATGCGGGGGTGGATCGCGGGCCCGCATTGTGGGATTAAGGGAGCGCCAGTGGGGTCTGTGCGCGGCCTAAAAGTTTCGGGCGGTATCGCCCCCGTTGGCGAGATCTTGTACCGACCTATACTGTTGTTCTGACCCCCGTGCATGGGGGTGGGTGGTAATTGTGGGGCAGGCCTTAGAAACAATCGAATTGGCACGAGGAGTCCGGGAATGACTCCGGACGCGAGTCGGACCAGGTGCACGCGTGAAAGAAAAGCGGGGGGGGGGGGGGGGGTTGTTTAGATTAGATTCGGTCTGTTTTTGTGTTCTCCCTATTCCCTTGCCCGCTTTTTCTTTGGTTGTTTTGTTGTTCTTGAGTTTGTAGCGATCGGCACACTTGCCGGCGCGACAGCTGGAGAGAACGGAAGATGGGGGAGGTCGTCCGGCTAAATAACTGAATAAGTTGGCAACGAACCCAGACGCAAACCGCGTTGGGTACATGCAAAAAAGAAAGGGGAGGGCGAGTGGGGCCTTGATTCGAGGTGACGCCACTTGGGGCATCAGCTGGATCTGGGGCGAAAAGAGGAAGACTTGTATGGCCCCGCGCTAGGCTGGCATGTGTAAACCCGGGATTGAACCGGGACGTGAGACAGGGCAGGTGCATACGGGGAGTGGTAGTGTGCGTGTGCCCACAGTCCATGCCCAGCGCTGACGAGGCGCGGCAAGAACCGGAGGCGGCCCGAGTGCTGAGAGGTGGCAGGGCCCTGCCCAGGTTGGAAAAAAAAAACGGAGCATCCGCGACAAGAGGATCGGATCGTGGAGATCCGTAGGACATTGGGCGGGGTGACATAACCCGGGGATAAACCCGGACGATGACAGGGCCAGGTCCGTGCGCCGAGGTAGGGTGTGACTGTAGTCGCACGGGGTTAAGAAGCCACGGGGGAATTGCCCCGGCCTAAGTCCTTCGAGACGCCTGTTAATATTGGAGCTGCGCAAGGGAGATCCGTGCGGCCTCGGCGCGAGGGGGGGGGGGATGGGCGAAATATCTGAGAATGAACCCGGACGCGAGCCGCGCCGGGTACACCGAACTATCCGGTGGCCGGATCCGCCCAGTGATTGTGTGCTGCGAAAAGAGAGGGGCGGGGATATCGAGAAGATTTGCATAGCCCCGCACCAGGTCGGTGCGCATAGAACCTAAGATATGGGCCGGGTCGACGCGATGAGGGCAGGTGGTATTATGGTTGCGCAAACTCCGAAAGGCCGCCGAGGAGTTCACGAGACGAGCAGTCCTTCGGGACATCCGCTAACAACCGGGCGATGCAGTCATGGACAACTACCCAATCATCTAATCACTCAGTGATCCTACAAGCAATCATTTTCGAGCATGCACGGTGTCATTACACATCAGACATCGCAACAACATCAGAACTCCTACCATACCAAAAGCGGATCAAAGTGACAAGCAATGATGATGACTAGGCAAAAACGACAAACATATCATTCCATCCAATCCAGTTCACCCCATACACACAAAAGAGGGAGGACCGAGACAGAATGGGACATCATATAGGGACCAATATTAAAACAAAGATGCCAAAGGGAAATGAGAGTGAATCGCTCGAGCCGAAATCAAAACTTATATACAAAACTAAAGAAAAAGACAAAGAAAATTGCAAATCCACGTCCATCAACCTCAACTCTCTTTTTTTTTCTCTCTCTCTCTGATGCGGACAGTCCGTCGTCACGCACCAACCCACGAAGTCGTCACCCCGCTTAGTCCTCCTGCACCCGTCAGGTTCGCCCGCGCGCTACAGTTCGTCGTAGCCCCACGCATCAACCCCGCGCATTCGGCACCAGCTCGTCGAGTCGCCCGACTCCCACTTCAACTTACCTCTTACTTCGCTCGTGAGCCGACCCTCACTGATCGCGCTACCCCGAGCTTCCAACAACTGGTTAAGGGAGCTATCTAATCGCGCAGCCGGAATTTATAGAGTGCATGCATGCGGGAAGAACACGGAATTGCAAGGACTTAGGAAGAGGGAAGGGAAGGGATTGCCTATGTTCTGCATGGCCAGACCACAGCGTGGGGGACGTAGCCACTCTCCACGCATCGACCCGATCATGCAGCCCGTGGGCCAGATAGACACAACAAGGAAGAGAGAGGGTGGGAAAGACGAAGCTCAAGAAGAAAGATACAGTTACAAGGGCGCCCTGCCCAAAAATTACGGTTACACGCAAGATTAAGGGCGCCGACTAATCAGAAATCCGCTGCAGCCGCAAAAAGAAGCACGCGATCAACAAGGCAGCGTGCGGCAAAAAAAATCCTAAATTCCTAAATTCCTAAATTCCTAGCTAATGCAAAAAGAAAAACGCAAATTCCAAAAAGAAAGTCCGAAATTC